CATGCTCTTTAAGCCTTGGTTTTAGCTGTGAAAAATGGGGATGAAAATAACACCTGCCTTATAGAAAAAATGTGAGAAAAAAAATAGGGTAATCCATGGGCATCACTCTGCACACTGCTGGCTGACAGCAAGCACGTGACGCTGCTGTGCGGTTGTTATAGCAACATGGCTCTGAGGATCTAAAGTTCTAGTGTTGGTCATTGTTTATTTCATTTTTCAAAATAAAATAAATTCTTAAGGTAAAACATTAACTACATACACTGTATAATATCATAGTTAAGACCACAAGCCAGAGAGGCTATTCAAATTGAAATCTCAGCTCCACCACCGATTACTGTAGAAACTTTGAAGGAAGAGCTTAAGTGCTTATGCCTCAGTTCCCTCATCTATAACCTGGGGATAATAAAAATACTTTCCTGGTACATTCTGAGTGGTCAATAAATGTCCTGGGAGGAAAGACACCAATCCAGGAAACTTAATTCTCCATCTTCCACTTCAAGCCAGGAATTTGGCAGTTACCCTAGAATTTGATCACTCCCTCTCACATCCTACACACAGCCATTGCCAAGTTCTATTGCATCTTCCCCTAAATATCTCTTGTGTGCGACACCCTCTCACCACTGGCAGTCTTTGCTGGGTTCCGACGCTCAGTATTTCTGAGCCTGTATCACCATCACTCCTTCCTGACTGCTCTCCTAAATGCTGTCTTCAACACTGATGCTTGAGTGATGCTTCTAATCTAAACCATTAAGCTATTCAATCTCCTAGTCCTACCACCCCCATGAATCAGTTTCCGCCCCTCCCTCATTTGAGCAGGATAATCCCAACCCTGTAAAATCACCTGGTCCCTGACTATTTTTCAGCCCTTTTTCCTGCCGTACACTTAAGTCCCCTCTGTTCTAGGTATTCCAAAAACAATGTTTGCTTTCCTCACACCAATGTTCCCTCTACTTCCATCAGTTAGAAACGGGATTCCTGTCCTGCTTGTTTATCTCATCCACTCTCCCTCTGAGGCTCAGCTTCACTAAAAACCTCCTCTGAACCCATCTGAGTTGAATTCTTTCTGTGGGTTCCTGTGGCTCCCTCTTCATACTCTGTGTAGGGAGCTAAATAGTGCACTTATCTTTCTCCTCCCTCTGCAGGTACTAATGTACTGTTATAACCATGCCTTGTTCAGCTTTGTCTTCAACAATTAATGTGATGCCTGATCCACAGAAGACATTCAATAAATGTTTGTAGAAAAAGTGGAGCAATGAATATTCATTCCTGCTCTGTCACAGAATAGCTGTATGAGTTCGACACCAATCGTAGAATTGCCATTTTATCTCAGTATATCCCTGTGTCAGTCATGTATATAGAAAGGGGGACTCCATAAATGCTTCCTTTTTTAGTATAAATTTCCTTAGGTCACCTCAAAGGTTTTCTTTTTTGTTTGCTGTTGTTTTATTGACAGGACATCCTATAAGCACACATGCATACATAATAAAAACATTTATTGAATAAATGAAGGTCGATTCTCCTAAAACTTCTCACTACTGAAACATTTTAGTTTATATAAAGAGGGCAAAACACGTAGGTAAGTGGCACCAGAAACCAGTGGCAACAAGGGAAGGGCAGGGGCTGAAGAGCGTTCATGACTTCTAATGCTCATGGGCTCATGGTAGCTGGGCCATCTACTGCCCAACACCTGTTAGCTGGGGCCCTGCTGGGTGCAGGAGATACAAAGAATTACTCTCTACAAGCTGCTTAGTGAGAGCCTGGATCCGATATTAACACACCCAAAGGCATCTGCCTACCTTTGGCATGCCTCCCCTTGCTGCCAACCTAAGTAGCCCACCAGGAAAGGAGACTAAAAGGGGAAAATATATCAGGAACAGGAAGAGCAATAGGAAGGTGTGGGCAAGAGATTTGTAAATGCAGTAGTTAAGAAACTTTTAAGCTAGATACTCATTGTAACTGGTTGTTTTTTTTTTGTTGTTTTTTGGTTTTTTTGCTTTAAGCTAGATAATTTGGTAATAAAAAGATTAAGGGTTCATCTACTTAGATGTGTTTCTTTTTTAACCAATAGGAAGATTTCCTTTTTTGTTTGTTTTTAATCATCACCAGAAGATCTCTCTCTCTTTTTTTAAAAAAAGAGAGAGTGGAAAGGGGGGGGGGAGAGAGAGAGAGAAATATTAATATGAGAGCCTCCCATACTTGCCCCAACCAGGGCGGGAAATTGAGCCTGCAACCGAGGTACATGCCCTTGACCGGAATTGAACCTGGGACCCTTCAGTCTGTGGGGTCGATGCTCTACCCACTGATCCATACTGGCTAGGGCAGATTTCCTTTCCTTGACATTAATGTGGTGCCAAGAATAAAACACATCATTATTAAAATTCAACTAATTATAAATTCCTAGACGTTTCCTATTTTTTTCACTGATAATAACTTATTCATGGTTATCAATATTCATAATAGACCAAATGTATAACTTACTGGGTTTTTAAAAAAACTTCTGAAATGTGAATTCTAGGCTAAATGTTATAGTTTGGTTATAATCCTTGGTAATATCCCATACTGTATGATGCTGTGTCATGGAGCTATAAAAAAGATTCATCTGGGGCTTACTCAAACCTGAATTGCAGGGACACCATGAACCAAATGTCTTCTTTTAGAAATTAGATGGTCTATAAGTTTTTCCTAAACTTTTCCATTTTGTGACTTTATGAGAATACTCACTATTACTTTTATGTAATTCAAAGATCCTAGAAGATATTTCTGCATATGAGCAAGAGTATCTATTCCCATAATAACCCGCAGAATATTTAAAATCACCTTTTGCAATTGACATGGGGCCTACAATATGGAGCGAAGTAACCCACACGCCTTAATTATGATCCTAGAAAAAGGTAGGAAAAGAAATGCCACATCAAAACAGTTCACTTTGTAGGGAATAAGAGTTATAAATGCTGTACCGCTGAAAGGAATCTAGGGAAAATACTTGTATCCTCCGACTAATCCTACCTTAACTTTGTACATAAAAAGGAGTCCATGAAATATCCATAGCTCATTTGACTATGACTATTAAATCTCCCCTAATACATGTAGCTTTGATAGGGAATATCCACTTTATACTGTGTTAAGAATTAACAAGTACAACAGCAATGGGGATTGATCCACTTTTTGGATCTACTCTGAGTGTCCTGAAAACAAAACACTGAAATCTGCTTGCACACTGACAATAGCGATATTGATATTCCCCCATGTTCCCTTCTGGTTGCTAAGAGATTGACATCAGGCAGACTCTGTTGTACTCCTAACAAAGCATTTTGGTCCACAAAGCATTTGCTTCAGCTCAGTTGGGTCCAGAAACTCCGTTTGCCTCACTCCTGTCCTATTGGCTTCCAGGGGCCCAGGCACTGGATCAGCAGGCCTCCGCTGCTCCTGGGGGAACTGCTGTGCATCACCTGGCTCAGCTAACGACTTACAGAGGCAATGACGACACCATGTCCTTATACACATAGGTGTGCCTTTCCTCATGTTTCTCAGAAGCCAGTTTATCATGATGAGGGTGGGCAGAGGTGTGTGGAGGGTGGAAATCAATAGTGACCTACCCACAGACAAACCTAAGGCAATACAATTAGGCCAGAACCTAGCAAAATATGGCAATTTCTAAACAGCCCCCACTGTGTGAGGCTTTGAAATATGCCGGCACAGAATTTCCTAACCTAAGTTTGAACTTCTGTGAAATAGGTTTAAGAAGTTTATTGACAAGAATACGGAAGTGGGAACTACCTAAATTCATCACCTTGCGGCAAAGCAACCGCAGCCCTCCAAACTCAGTCTTGTGAAGTCCGCCATGTAACAAAAGGCGGAGGTGACTTCTATAGATCCCAACTCTAAAGAAAATGGCAAAGGCACCAACAATATTCACGGCTGCCCCCGAGGAGAGGCTCATGGGGCGGGTGAAATCTGCATGTCATTTAGGAAGCACATGCACCACGGCTCGGAGCAAATGAAGATTATCTTTCCCTCGGGAATTCTCACAAAGAGACATAAAAATGGTTTATGACCCGGCTTCTGTATTCAGACCACAGAGTTTTCATCAATTTTTATTCATTGCCATGGAAGAAAATTGCTTTGGGGCCTCTCTCCCGGGCCGGTACCTAGGAGTCATATTTAAGGGCACAGCCACCCAACACTCAGTAATCAAACACCACTGACCTAGAAGATTCCTATTTTTTGCCCTGCCTGAGAATATCAGTAGGCGATGATCAATGCCCAGGCTATGACTGAAAGCAATCAGTGTTGAAGGGTGCCAGTCCCTGCCAAGTCATGGGAATCCCTACGTTCAAGTTCATCACTCTCACCCGGCAGAGAAAAAACAAGCCCCTGTGGTTTTAGCTGTATTTAACAAAAGAAAGTTATTTCTAGCAGCTTCTTCTCATTGTACAACCTGACGAAAAGCACCCCATCGCAATAAGAGGCAGAAGGGGAGAAAAGAGGGGGGAAAAAGAACAAACGCAAAGCAGGAAATGACTGTTTCTGCTACCTCCTTCAGGGTACAGATCTGCCTGAGCCACACACATGTGACACAGTTCTAGCACAAAAGCTCCCTTTCCGAGGACAGACCTCTCAGAAGCCAAAGCCTGGCTGCCTGGCCTCTCCCTCAAGCCCAAGTCCCCGCAGTCCATGTAACCTTGGCTGGGCTGCAAAGAAATTACTTTGAACTCCCGTGCACACCTTTCTGTGTCATGGAAACATGCCGGTGCCTGTGCAGAGTGAAAGCACCCCTTCCTTCCGCATCAGCACTGCAATCACCCCACGCGGGGCAGGCTCTCCCCTCGCCTTGCCCATCCGTCGGCCATAGGACTGTATCATCTGTTCCCAATTTACACACCCAGTTCCCACTCCACACAGCATGCAGAAAGAGCCCTTCCTGCTGCTCACATTTGCGGGGAAGAGATGAAAAGAGAAAAGAGGCCAGGCAAGAGGTGTGCCCTGGCGCACATAGCTACCTTTTTCTTCCGATCCCGGGACCGTTTGCGGTGTTTCCTTTTTTTCTCGGTCTCTTCCTCGGCATTGATTTCTAAATCCCTGTTTTTCTTTAACTGTGAGGCCGCATGAGCCATAATGCATGGAAAAGGATCCTCTCAGGCAGGCAGGGCTTCCCGGTAAAAGGTGATATCCTCAGGCACCTCTGATCAGGCTCGCAGCAGCCTTCCCATCACGGGAGAGAAACCTCTCACTAGAAGCAGGAAGACTTCCAAAATGCCAAGATGCTGTGGACGCTGAAGCTTTTAAAAACCCAGAGGACGGTTTCCAGGTTTCATCCTACACCTTCCTCTACCTGAACCTTCCCACGAGGGTGCAGCCATTGTAATGCATGGACCGGAGTGGAGAGACAGCTGGGACAGAGGAAGCTGTATTATGGCTGTGTCCCCTGCCACCAGCTGGAAGTGTCTAAGTGATTCCTCGGAAGGGGGAACGCTGCAAAGGATGCTTCTCCGGAGGGAAAAAATCAAGAGTCACCACTCATGCAGGAGCAACAACCCAGCACTGATTCTGAAAACCTATTTTAGAATCCTGCGAGAAAAAGACAGGGCTGCAATTTAAGCCTCACCACTAGATCTGCACAGAGCATAATTTAACCCGTAGCAGAATGGAGCGGTTCCTACTTCAGCTTAACTGCTGATGGTGACAAAATATCTGAAATGAGATTTCACAAAATACACGAAATTTTGCGGTGGGGATCCCGACTGCATTATAGGGAAAACAATGCATGCATTGCTGGTCTCCACAGTGCATCCTTTATGCTGAACTATGAGCCTACATGCATTTTGAAGGAGAGGACTACAGAAGGGCCTGTTGTCTTTTAAAAACAACATGCTGATTACAACACATCACACAGGGAGACGTGCGCATGTTGGTGTATGGAACAGATGCCTGATTCAGAGCAGCTCCCCAGGACTCGCCTCGCATGTGCTCTGAGGGTCAGAGGACAGGGGACCTGGGCTGTAATCAGGGTTTCTGAGTCGCTGAAATGCAGATTGGCTTTCATGTTGGGGTTTGCTTCAATCACCTTACTATTTTTGCCACCTGAGTCCTCAATGACTGCAGCCTCTGAATATTCATGATGTGAAGTGAAGCAGCAGCAATGCACAAGGCCTGCTGGGGTATCTTCCGCTAGGCTGCACGCACTGGAAGAAATGTAATAAGTCAGGGCTATTCACACACACACACACACACACACACACACACACACACAGTATTCACATGGCTTTAGCGAGAAATGACTGAAATATCAGACTGGACCTATATTTGGGTCCGATAAGAAGCCCTACATTCACTGAGAAAATGAGCAGAATAAAAAAAAAAAAAATTATGATTTTGTTGAAAACAATGTGTGCTTCCAATACCCAAAGTCCAGAACTTTGGGAATCAGTGCATTTGACTCTGCAGGGCTGACGGATGCAGGGTGTGAGGCTAGAGCAAAAGGTCCAAAGGGGGTGTGGGGACTTCTCTGGAGCTGCTGTTCACCGACTTCACAAAGAGCCCCAAGCGTGAGTTCCCGCAAGCAACTACACACTGTACTTCTGATTTGGAAGGCACTTCCCCTCATAAGGGGCTTCACAATCTCTGCCAGGCAGCGAGAGGGGAAGGAAGGGAAAGGTATGAGGACCATGGCCATTGCAGTCCCACTGCAAGTGGACTGCACTCTCCTCGCGGCCTCACTGTGACCCACATGAAAACCACTCTGGTCAAATAGTTCCTGAGGACCTACTGTGTGCACAGGTGCTCCTGTTCTTACTTCCCCCCAGAAACTCTCTTCAGGAAGAAAGCGTCCCAGAAAGGTTCTCATTGCCCATGAAACCATCGCCGGACAGAAAGGACGGGAAAATGAAGGTGTGGAATTAAATGAAACTCAGATCCAAAAGCAACAAACCATATTGGGATCTTCATAGAAAAATAAGTTTTTCTACCAGGATTTTTTAATTCTAAGAGTAATAGGATGGAGAAAAGAAAAAACAAAACTTTGGTATGCTTTCTTCCTGTGTAAAATCATCCCGTACTTTTGCAGAACATTCATCCGATTTCATTCCTTTTTCTCAGCAACTTGAAGAGGACCGCCAGCTAAAAACCTGGCTGGTGTCCCACTGGCTCTGGACCTTCTTTTTTCTTCCTTTATAGACACTAATGAGACTTTAAAATATGTTTCTAAGTATGCCTGATCAAGGTTAACTTGTCCACCTGCGGCTGGCACAGCTATACTTTCCCATTGACTTCTACCAGCCAGAGCGTAGCTGGAAACTAGAAAAACAGACCACAGGTATTTTTCAACACACTTCTCTCTAGAATAATTCTTTGCCTCCCCAGAATGTTCAGAAGTTGAGAATCCATTGCCAATTTTAAGCTGTCATAATAGGAATTTTTTTTGTTATGTTGGATTTGCAGTATGTCAGTAAGTGGTTGATCATCTAATCTAAGCTTGTTTAGATTTTCTTTCTTACAGAAAACATGGGCATTTGCCCTCCATGTTGAAACCAGAAGAACTTCTAAGAATGACCGTGCCAAGATAGGCAGCCCTTTAAGTCCAGGATTGAGATTGTGATGTTACTACGGTCTTAGTAGTGCCTTTCTCCTTACCCAGTGTGCGCCCTAACAGGTAACTCTCAAGCTCCCTGCGTACTTATTCTCAACACAAAGACATTTATACAAGAGAGCCACAAATATTTTTTCCTTCCAAACTGAATTGACAGTTCTGCCAATAATTCTAGTAAGCGAGTCCTTATAATAGCTGAAAGTGAATCATATAAAGAGGCTTTAAACACTTTACTGTTTGAAGATTTAGAAAACTTTTCCACTTAAGCCTCAAGAGTCCATTCTCTCCTGGGAAATTACAGAATTAGAGTGAATCTTCAAAGTAAAAATGACTGTCCAGCTGTCGCTGAGCAAGCAGCAGGTCTCTGACAGCAAGGAGGAGGAGCGACAGAAATGGCATTATAGCAAGCACCCCATCTGAAGCAAGGCTCAATGGTCCAATGGTCACCCCTATACAGGGGACTCTCCTAGTCCTACCCCTGCCATTGGCCATGAGGGTGTAATGGGCAGGACTTACCCAGGAAGGCGATGGCTATGCATGGAGTGTCAAAGCTGTTGAAAGTTAAGGAAAGACAATCTGTTCTGTTTTTTTTGTTGTTGTTGTTTTAAAGTTCCAGGTTCAATAATTCTGAAGCAATCCTTTCAAAATAATTTAAAAGAGTGATCTTTCAAACTTTTGCTAGCTGCAGACATTTTTCTTGGATAAGTCCTATAGGAAAGGCAGTTATGATAAATGTAACAGCCGAGCTGCTTGGCTGAATTGAAACAGTGGTTTCCTAGAGCCCCAGCTTCCTGGCCCCCTGACCCTTCCTCCAGAAGGTAGTCTGGGTGAGCGCAACTTGAAAACCAGCACTCGGCAGACAGGACAAGTCCTTGTCTTCTCCGGGCTCGCCTTTGTCACCAGAAGTGACACCAAACAGTGACTCCTCCTGTTAAATGTTTCCTTATGAGTTGGTCCCAAATAATTCTTGATTTCTTAGCAGAAGCAACAAGTTTCACCTAGAATATTTCCTGTCTGTGCATTATTACAGCATAAAACCAGTACAGAAAAATAAAAATAAAAATCACTTTCCCGTTTGCCATCTATACAGTAATGTTTACAATGTAAACACTTTCTAATCCAGAAATCAAAAAATTATAACTAAGCATTCCACTGAAATAAAACTAAAAAATTCACTAGGATGTTTTACAAACTGTAGAGACCACAGCCAGGGAAAAGTTGCCCCCTCGATTTAACATACACCTTGCCAGGATCTTAAATCAAACTTTGACTCTGACTTGAGCCAATTAATAACTTGACTACTCTTGGCTGCCGTTTTAAATTGTGTCTCCACATTGTTGAGCTGAGCGGACACACAAACAAGAACACAGGTGATGTCTATGGAGATGATACTGTCACTTGGTAAAACGATATGACATGGTGACGCAGAGAAGTGGAAAATGGGGAATACACAGAAGAAAAGATCAGAAAAAGAGAAATGGTTCCCGTCTGCCAGGGAAGCCACAGCTTTCTGCCCCCGCCCCCAGCTCCGGGTAATGAGGAAAGCGCATGTTTTGATGGAATGGAAACTATCTTATGCTGCACCCACTTCACTTTTCCCAGAAGCAGAGCATCCTCGCCATAGCAGAGTCACAATATTTTTCCTTCACAAAGAAAAAATGGAGCCATCGTCATTTCATGAACGTTGGCATCCGAGATAAAGATGACGCTGAGAGAGCCTGAGCAGCGTCTGAACACGTTGGGGACAGAAAGGAAACACGCAGTAAACCCGCCAATGGTTACAAGTGACAGAAAGACACTTGGGAAATTCTCAGTTTATAGTCATGTATTATTCTTCATCTTCAGATGAGACAAGTGGAGTCCTTAAAGAAGGGGAGGGGGACTGTGACTGGAAAACACTGAAGGACTGGTGGTCTTTCCACGTTCCTCGGAGGGTGGCCCCTTTGGATAAGTAGGCACTGGCCTCGGTTCCAGCTGGCATAGCACAGGGTCTGTCCTCTGTTCCTGGAGCAGACTGTCTGTCCAACTAACCGGCCTGACCTCAGCGCTGGAGAGCCAGGTGGCCGCAGCTGCCAGCTGCTTCTGCGACCTCACATGAGCGCCTGGGGACAGGCACACGGGAGAGCTTCCCAGAGATCTATCACGCCCACATTCTCTGGCAGAAAGAAGGGGGCTCATTCACCACACAGGGAAGACCCCCCAAAGCACCTCCTGCACCGTCTGACCCCAACATGCCAAGCAGAGCGCTGGGAGCAAAGCCTGCACCTAAGTGGTAGGCAGATGAAATGTATTGGACAAGCCACTTCCTCTTGATCCTATAGAAGGAGGGAGCTGGACCAGATGCCTTCGAAGACAATCTCCCATGAATCCAAAATGCTGGGATGTGAGGTGACAGAAGGCTGTGGGTGCTTGGAAATGAAGGAAGACGTGGAAGAAAGGTTTATTTAAAAAGGAGCTTATAATCTGTGCAGGTCAACACAGTAGCCACCGGCCATACTGAGCTAGTATTGGGCACTGAAATGTGACCATGTGGCTGCAGACATGAGTTGTTAATTTCATTTAAATTTTTAAAGTCAAACACAGACACAATTGAGACACTGAAACACATTAAAGTGTGTTTGGAACAATTTGGATTTGTGAATCTATTTTTTAAAAATTAAATTATGTGAAATAAAATACAGATCCGGTATTTCCCATGATAATTTAGCATCCCAACTGAGATATAAAATACACACTAGATTTTAGGACTATGAAAAAATGCAATGTAAAATATCTCAGTAATTATTGTACATACTGACTCATGCTAAAATGAGAATATTGTGGATACAAGAAGTTAAATAAAATACATTAATTT